CTGGCCCACCAAATAACTTTTTCCCAAGTTTGTACCTCGAGATTTCGAAGGATGTTTATACCTACTAGAAGACCTGCTATAGCACCAGCCAAATGGGCCACATAGCCGATTTGATCATTGGTATCAAGAACATAACGATTGTATATGGCTTGGCCGACGTCAACACTCGTGATAACGAGGAATACTAATAGCTGTAGCACAGCAAATTCCATTTGCGACCAGTTCATTATAATAGTTGCTACGTGGGCAGTGATTAATGCGTACACACCGCCCGAGGCACCAGCCAGGTAAACTGTTGGATCTGAAACGGATGTACCAAGGGAACCGGCCAGTACTCCGGCTATGTATATTATTAATACTCTCCACCATTTATGAACCATTTCCAGTGGAACACCCAACATAATTTGTACCAGGAGATTAACGACCAGATGGAAGACTCTATGAAACACAAAAGGAATTATGAACGTTAAAAATTCAGAAATTTTTAATAGATATTACGGAAATGCGTAGGTCATAAAATAGACTATTATACATACCCGACGTGTACAAACATATATGTTAGATACCGCCAGGCTTGGTACCTCTTGTGCGGATTATAAATAAATAAAGTAGCTGCTGGTCCTTCTACAGAAAGAGATTTGTGCTTAATCACATCATACATAAACAAAATGATTTCTATTATCGATATGATTATCATTGCTATAGCCGGCGGTCGACAACTGTACTCTTCTTCGTACAGCCCATCTGGATAGTCGCTAGAGTACAGAGAAGATTCTGTTATTGTACTTGTTTGTTGCTGTAAACCAGCCAAACGTGCAGAACGTGCAGGTCTTTTACTAAAGCTCAGGGGAAAGCTTTTATTAAAGCTCCGGCTCTCGCCCCGGCTCGAAGGAGGAGGAGAAGGTGGTGCTTGCATTACAATACTGAATTGTCGCTGGGGATAATACCTCGAGCCCACGGAAGTTTGTCTTAGTGTACGGCATGGTCGTTGAGGTATTACACACTGCACATATCGTTGCACAATATGTCCGAATATACCCTGCATGTCCTTTCTATGGATCTAAATATCAAAAAATAATTGATATAAATTATCGATAATTAGAGATTTCCAAAATGTTTTACTAACGAAATATGGAATATCAATTCAATAAATAAAAAGGGCCATGGGCCAAAGCAAGTTATTATCGCTAATATTTTAATGTAAAAACTTTCATAAAAAAACGTTTCGAGGCGGTCCTTCTCAATGTTAAATTCTAAATACATAATAAAAGTCAATTTTAAACTAAAAATAGTAAAAGGATTTCCTAGAAGGTCGAAATGTTTGTTTATGAAAATTTTTACATTAAAATATTAGCAATAATAACTTGCTTTGATTCATGGCCCTTTTTATTTATTAAATTGATATTAATCATTTCGCGCCATTTTAGATTTTTTGGAAATATGGAAAGATAAAAACAAATATAATTTCCAGAATCCTTAAAGATTGATTCAAAAGATCTTTAACTAACCATTGCTATGAATTCTGGATATTCTAAATAACCGGAATCGTCCAGATCTGCTTTATGCATTATCGTACGGACTACCCCAGCAGGGATGTCTTTAGAAAAATCTGGACCGCGTATCATTGCTTTTAACTCTTGTAGTGATATTTTTCCATCTCCGTCAAGATCATACTTCTCAAAAATAGCTTTCCAATGCTGTAAAATAAATTAAACAATTAAATATATCATTATTTTGGCAAAGATATAAAAACGTTTAACAAACATTATATTTTCAGTAAGATTTCTTAGACTGTGACCAGATGTTGCCGGTAATAATCATCAGTGGTATAGAAGTAAAATATTTTCCTTTACAAGTGAATCATGCACTTAAGCCTGTTAGTTCTGATATGAGTCATTTATATGGAAAACTAAGCTTCTAGTGAAGAGAAAATAATCACAGAAAACAGTAAAAAAAAAAAAAAAGAAAAGTTTTAATAATATGAGAGACAGATTAATATATATTTTAACATTATTTTAATTACATCTATTATATATACTTTAATATACAATTGAATAAAGAATTTTTTAAAATGCCTGAAAACATTAACGAAATAATGCATCTATACCACTAATTTCTCTCTTCAGTAGTAAATATAAAATACACTTACAGCTTCATTATACTGCAGTGGGATGGTCACTGCAGTCTCGCCTTCCCGATTAGTCTGCATCCTTATCAATTTGAAACCTCTGTAAAGTAAATATCAGATAGGTATCAGTAAACGTTTTATATCTTGCTAGAACTTTGTAAACAATCAACACAAGTCTTAAAGCTAGAATGGCATAGTAGATCTCTTATTCTTCTGAATTTGTTTCTGAATTGAATCTCTCTCTCTCTCTCTCTCTCTCTCTCTCTTGCTATCTACTTACTAACGGCAAGAGATCTATGCAGGAAGAATTTGAAGAAAATATCGAAGAGGCAGAATCCCGGCTCGTCGTACCTAAAAGACTGTATCACAAGGCGGAAGCCATGCGACAACGATCGTGTTACGATCAAATAGCGAACGCAAGGAACACGTTTTACCTGACAAACCGAACACTGAGGTTACTGAGACGTCAATCGTGAATCGTGCGTTAGATAGCTCTCTCGTACGAGCAGAAGGCTGCGAAGAGTCACTCGCCCCGTCCGGCGACGAATATCTGGGGTTACTCTGTTCAACGAGGGACAGACCACGAGCACGACCACCCGCACGCACCTGCGCTCGTGACATTAGATCTTGCGTATCGAACAGTCATCTATGACCCGATAACGTCGCAGTGACACATTTTCTTATCTCTCGCAGATACGACGTGGGAAGTCGATAGAGACGCGCCGCGGCGTCCTGTCAACGACATCATGGACGGTCGCGGGAACCCTGTTCGCATTCCACCTGTTGGCCATCCGCGTGCGCGCCGCGCGCGATCAGCGACGCGTCGTCCCGTCGCGCCGCTACGATGCGCGCGTGCTATCGCCAAATTCTACGTACACATATGTAACCCAGCGTATCTAACGTATCGCAAAACGTACATACATACATACCCTAACCTTCAAGGTTTCGGAGCGAGCTGCGAATGGTCCGTGGTCGAGTGACGGCGGGG